GAGACAGAGAGAGAGAAAGAGACGGACGGATAAGCAAAACCTTTCGGATGCTTGTGGATTCTTCTTTCTCTTTCTGGTGATGTGCTATGCTGTCCAGCCAGTCATGTTAATGAGATGGGAAGAACCTTGCTGTCATTGTCTCATTGACTTTTGAAGAGGGCCTTGCAGTCAGGAGGACTGTGCTGAATTCTTTTTTGAATCCACATCTGGGAAATGTGGTTAACAGGCAGGTCAGCGCGAAGAAGACTTAAAGAGAGGAAGAGGCAGTGAGGGCAGAAACAAAGACACACAGGGAGAACAACAGAGGGCAAGCAAGGAGTGAAAATAACACAGCAAGTGGAGAAAGAAAGGGACACCCGATGCAGAAACGAAAAATAGAGGGGGGTGGAGGACAGAGTTCCACAGTGTGATCCAGACTCTGGGAAGGCTTAGGGTGTCGCTGCTATTTAAGAGTGAGGGAGGGGTCAGAGCTGACCACATGGCCTGTTGGGAGCTGTGGCTCTCCGTTTCTGGCATTCTGATAGCTTGCAGCTCACTGAGTGTAAACTAATGATAGATTATTGAGGGAAACCTCAAATTAGTTGCTGTGCCTCCACATTCGCTCACTTTCCTCAGGGGAAGGGAGCAGAAGGAAGAAAACATGGGACGTGCAACATTATCATTACCCCCAGGGCCACTAAGAGCGTACAACCAGGGAAATGAACCAGAAAGTAGGCATCCTAATTTATCACGTGTTTGGTGGCTGAAATCCAAAATCTTGATTTTCACAGTTACAGCGTACAGTAAAGCAATACCTACACATTGTCTTCAGTTTTAGTCTTGGTCTCTTGTATTACAAAGCATTATAACAAAAAACTCAAATATTGTATTGTAAATATTATTTAAATTCCATGCATTTGTTTTCTTTTATATTCACAGACTTTTGCATTATAGTTGTAAATGAAACACTTGTTTTTCTGTGTTAATAATTTAATTCTAACATTTTTTTTCACATCTCCACTGATGAATACCTCACCTGGATCATAGACATTCATGCATATGTATAAGAAGCAGGTAATGCAAGTTAATGAAAGAAGAAATCCATCATATTGTAAGCTATGTATGTACCTGTATGTAATGTTGAAGAAAAACATTTGTATCGCAATAGCTAAATACCTACTTGGCCAAACTTTTAAGATTAAAGTCTGGTGTTTTGTGTGTTGGCTTTTATTCTTTAATTCGATTTTTCTTTTAATGAAATTCTCAAAGCAAGTACAAGAAATACCTTGTTTGTTTTTTTTTCCCATTGGTGTGTTTTATGGTTTTGATGTTTTTTTTCCCCATACTTCTGCAAATGAGCCTACATCTGTAAAAGCAATTATGAATTTTTGGATGAGATAATATAGATATCAGAAATATCACTAGCTTCTTTGTAAAGGGAACTCAAAATCCAAAATTTGTTTTGTGAAAAAGAAAAGCAGCACTAGTTGCTTTGTATTCTAAGAGAATAATGACATGATTGCTATCACTGCGGACAAAAACACAGTTTCTGTTCTGCGAGACAGGACAACATCCCAAATGAAAAAACAGTTGAATTGCATTAGTAAGGGCCATTGGTATTCTGACAGTCCTGTCTGAATATCAATTCCCTTGAGAGGAGAAAATGTCCCTGGTGAGACAAAGGGGAAAAAAAGAAACAAAAGCCTGAGAATGTTCAAGTGAATCATCTTTTAGTCATTCTGCTTGGCTTCGGCTCTTAGTAAATTCTTGGATTCAAGTTGAGCGCGCCACTCTTCACTGACACAAAGCGACAGGGCAGGCATTTTATGGATCCGGCAGGATTTGTTGACATACTGAAATATTATGCCAGTGCAGCATATTTCACTTCATTTGTGCTCTTACTGTGGTTACTTTAAAAAGGCCGGCGACCGTCAAAAAATATTTTACTGTGTGGAATATGGATCACTGACTATCAAAAGCTCTCACCCAAAGAAAAAGGGGGGTTAGAGCAAAAAATATCAAATAAACATGAGATAAATTCCCTCCCAGTTGACACTAGAGTGGTTAACATTTGCACATTTTAAAAGTTTTTCAAGGTTTTACAATGTAGATTTAGTTATTTGACCATAACGGGGCTTAGAGAAGGATCTCTTGGTTGTAGCTGTTCATCATCGTCGCCTTCTCTCTGTCTTGTCCTCCCTAGCCTGCTGACACTGATGGTTTCTAAGTGAGTATCTCATCCCTCTCTCTCTCCCTCTGTCATAATCACTGCTCTTTATGATCGGTTTGCCCTCTCTGCCCTTTCAAGATGCGGCATGTAATGAGGGCTCTGGAGGACTGTGTGAGTGGGCTATTTAGCCATTCAGACAAGATCAGCTCACACATCCCACGCTCTTTAACTTGACTCCCTACCAATACCTTTCAGCTGAGCACAGTAATTGTTTGTCCCGCTCACAAGGTCACACACACTGATGGAGCTGGAGCAACTCAGACATTCAACATCTATGTCCTTTTTGTCCATGTTAATCACATGATTAAAATGAGCAGTTGGATTATTTAACTGTATCCCACTGAGTATGAAAGTATAAAGATTAATGCTGCATTCACATGGATCCAGGCAAATGGTAAGCGGCAAACCGGATGTAATGTTACTGGATGAGAGCAGGGTGGTAAAATTAGGTGAGGCCGGCAGACGGACTGCACCTTTCTCAAGACATAGGAAAAACAAACATTAATATAATATACGAATAAATATATTGAATACAATTATTTTATGTATATTACTTTATGTAGTTTATTAATCATGAATGTCTGGTCACTTATATTCTCCTATCTCTCATGGGCTTATTTAGACAATCAGCAAAACATCTAAATTGCTACATGTAGACCCACAAACAACGGCATTAAGGGGCATTAACTGCACATTATTCATTTCCTTGTATTGCAGCCTGAATTTTAGATGTAGAATTTTTTATTAGACTTAGAATAGTACTGTACACTTTAAATGTCCAGTATACTTCCATAAATAATAATAATTATAATGATGATGATACACACAGAGCTTTAGCCTTCCCTTATGGGCTTACTCAGGCACATTAATCAGCAACAAAGCAAAATGATCATACTGAATGTATACCCAACATCAGCTTACAGCACAACTACTCATGAATGTTTAAACATACACAAACAGCCTATTTATATAAAATCCCAGAAGATCTCCAACAATATTTAAATAAATTTACAAATATCCTGATGTGAATCCAAACAAACTGAACCAAAGCATATAAAGCAAATCCTATATTCATATTTAATCTCAGTAAGAACATTATAAGCATACCTTTTTGTCATAAGTAAGACTGTAATCCGTTTAATTTAGAAAAATCGTATATTTGCTGTAATTCAATTTTACCTCATGTTCTAAGCTTCAGAGCAGTTTTCACCATTTTCTATTTTCGTCCTTCTGTGGAAAAGAGAAAAAAAAAATGTATTGCATTCTTGTCTGTCAATTGTCCAGAGTAACCAGGACAAACATTTCTCCATTCAAATAAATAAATAAATACCTAAAAATGAACATTCAAAGAATAATGGCCTTGAATATCTATATCTATCTATCAGAAACCATTTTGTCCCTCTTTTGTAGCTTCAAGTAAAAAAGTAGATGCTGACCATATTGTGATAAGGTTTTCAGAGTTGAGTTTGAGAGAGTTTTAGAGGTCACTGCCAACAGGTATGCTACCTTTAAAAACAAACTCTAACACTGTACACTTGAACTCTTCTGTGTAGCTCATTAACATAAATGCACATGCACACTGAATGTGCATACTGAACTTGGGACTCGGTGCTTGCGTGTGCCTCTTTTCCAAGCCCCGCCCATGTCTGCCGGTTGACCTATGAACAGCTGCGCACATGCTCCCGACGTCATCTCTCTTTAGTCTTCCGTGTCAACATGGCGGCATCCATGGCATCCCAGGCTGCAGCAAGAGGACTGAGGACATCCACCTCAAAGCACCTACTTCTGGACAAACTCAAGGTACTACTACAGCTCGCATTACTGTGAATGCGGGTTCCGGTGTGTCCTGCTGTCGGATGTCCTGCTGTCACCGTCACAGGGAGCTGTTAGTGTAGCTAGGTGGCTAACAGGTTAGCATGTGTGAGCAGAGAGAGCTTTGACAGATCAGAGTTGAACAGTGTGACAGCCCACTGCTGACGGAACGTTACATTGTAACGGCACTGTGTAACGTTACCCACTGTCCTCTAATAATAGTACTCATACAGATCATGCAGTGACTGCTGTTTTTCTAATACACTACAGTTAATGGACAGAAGCTTTTCTAAGGAAAACCTCATTGAACTCTTCACTAATGTCTGTTACAAAATGCTAAGTATGTTCAGTCACCCTTGACATTAACCTTGTGTATATATATATGTGTGTGTGTGTGTGTGTGTGTGTGTGTATGCGTGTATGCATGCAATTTAAAAAAGTTACTAAACTTTGAATTGGCACATTTTTTTAAATAAGCCAGCAAAACCTTTTAATGTAAGTCAAATATTATGTTTAATTTCTACAGTGGGCCGTGTGAGGACTTGATTCCTTATTAACAGCACAGACATGGTTTAAGATTTGAAGCCGGCTTACAGAGATATACCTGAACTCTGCCAACAGGACATAGACAGGAGTTTCAAACTGCGGCTGTATTTTCAGATAAGTCCACAGTGGAAAGGTTAACTCGTGCACTTTGATCCTTCAGTATCTGTTTGAGAGCTGTGAACAACAGCTCACAGAATTGATCTGATTAGGTTTGTCTACGCACACAACGGCAAATGATTATAGTTACATCTGCATCCGCTTTGCAAACTAAGCATTAGGCCTACTGATTAAAAACAGAAAGGAACAAAATGCTGCCAAAGCCATTATAAGGAATCAGAAATAAAGCCCCTGCCTTGTATTGACTAACTAACAAATGTGACCTCTCACAGAGAAAAAAGCAGAGTTGTGTTTTCAAAATAAAGGTCAAATGTCAGCATGTTCTGATACAAGCAGAACCTCATTTCTCTCCTCGCTCAGCATCAGAAAGCCTGGCTTTATTGGAAATGTGTCTGTATAAATGTTTGTAAGACAAGTACAGATGTCCTGACTGAAAGGACAGAGCAGAACCTGCCTGATGACACTGTAAACATTGTTCCAGTCAAGTACTCTGTTTGGCATTGGGTTAGCAGTGCACTTCATGTCTGCCTTTGCTGCGTTGCCCTGATAGATTAGTAAAGTACTGATAAAGCCTTTTGTCTTGACAGGTTTTACATTGAGGGGAATAGGATGTAGAGCACGATTTGCATTAAAGTGTAAGAAAAAAATTCTGCAAGGCTCCTTCCCATTCAGCAAATTTAAGAAATGCAGCAAAGGACGGCACAGGAAAATTATATAGGGGCTACAGAGTGTGTGACATGGAAGGTAACACTGTTATGTGATATATGACAGATTAAACTGAAATTTTAGTGGTGAACAAGTGTTTAGATGCTGCCGCTGCTGGTGCATAGCAGAGTACGGAAATATTTAATAGCAGGAAATGTCTAAAGTCTAAAAGTCTCAAAAAGGTACTGGCAAGTATTGAATGTAAACTCAGATTTCCCCGTTGGTCACTGTTCAAACAACTGCAGAAATTTCTTCTTGAAGAATCACTCAATAGTGCTGTATCTGTTCAGACAGTGTATGACTGCTCTGAAGGCAAAGGGTGACCCAACTGGGTGTCTGACAAGTATTATTATGTGTACAGGTATGTGGCAGTTAATGGATAAGATGAAAGTTAATATATAAGTAGAAATTATAAGGAGCATATTAGGGTTGGGCGATATGTTTTAAACACCCAACCGGCCACCGTCAGTCCAACAATCAGCAATTGCCAGTATTCACATATGTGTGTGTGTGCTGTGCCAGAGTTGAATTCAGATTTACACACATTAGAAATAAACCTAATCCATTCAAAATTAACTGATTTTCATGTTTAGATTTTGAAAACAAACTATTAGAGCTGAAGTAAAGAATACCAAATACTTACATACACACATAACATTTCTATGATATCTTGCATACATTTTGTTATCTGCCCCAATATTTATTTCACAATATTATTTTTGTTGTCTCTTGTATGTCTAAGATGTATTTCACGATTTTGCTTTATTTACCTACTACTACCGAGTTCATACATATTTCAATATATGCGAGGCTCCATGCAATCTACAACAATTTTGAAGTCTGCCAGTGTTCCCAAAAAGTATTGTTTTACTCAGTGGTGGCATGGCCTTAAAAAGTAAACTTTTGCAAAGCTTCTAATCTCACCTTTACTGGCTGTTGTACTGCTTCTCTGCTTTTCCTTCACTACA